AAAGGAAACCTTCAGCTGCATGGGAGGTTGTTAGAGGCACTGGAAGAGGTCCAGCAAAAACCACGGCAACCCCAATTGGAGAGGAAAAGCATTTTGACGGACTCCTTGTTTTTTAACTAAGTAGTCAGCCAACTTGGATGGCTTGTTAACTCGTATACTCCAGGCTGGAGAAGGCATTCTGGGGCAAACACTCCGCATGACACATACAGCTCGGCCTTCCTCTGGCTCTTCAGTCTTGGCACTTTGCTTTGTTCTTTAGTTTTTCCTGATTTGTTCCAAATAGGCTGAAGCTAAACAAACCGTCAAAACTCTGCCAAGCCCAAGGGCTGAGGTCTCCTCCGGTCTTCTCACCCTCTCCAGAAAGGTGTCTTCCGGCTGGCTGACGAGGACTTCTTCATCGAGCCGCTCTCTGCAGGCGAGCCCCGGGGGAACGCAGCCCAACCCCACAAGATCTATCGACGCAGCGCTTCCGAATACGAGGCAGAAGAGCTGATCGCTGTGGCAAACACCAAGCCCGCAGATGTCAGGATGTGTGGAGCGCAAGGTAACGATGTCTCCTGAACAGCTGCCAAACAGCTGTTTCGTAATCCTGCGCTTCAGTCTCCTTCTCTGTGTTTTAAAAGCATGACTCTCTTGAGTATATGAAAACCAGCTCCCACTTTATCGTTGTTTCTTTTGAATCAACCCGTGCAATTCCTTCATTTTTACCAATCTGAAATAAACTTTCCAAAATGGGCCTGACACCTGTGAAGTTCAAGCTTGAATGAACATCAGGGTTCCAGACTTCAATTAAAACTTAGGATTGCAAGAGGAGAACATCAGAAGAGCCCTGCTGGACCAGACCATCTAGATCGGTCTATCTTGTCCAGCATCCTGTCTCACACAGTGGCCAACTAGTTCCCCTGGAGGTCCAACAACAAGGCAGAGAAACTGGGGCCTTCCCCTGTTAAGAACATCAGGAGAGCCCTGCTGGATCAGACCAGAGAGGGTCCACCTAGTCCAGCATCCTGTCTCCCACAGGGGCCAGCCAGTTCCTCTGGACGGCCAACAACAGGGCAGAGAGGCCAAGGCCTTCCCCAGATGTTGCCTCCTCACTCTGGGATTCAGAGGTTGACTGCCTCTGAACATGGAGGTTCCCTTTAGTCACCATGGCCGTTGCTAGACCTCTCCTCCATAAGGGTGTTAGGCAATCCATAAATTGCCTTGGTCAGGTTTCCCTGGAGAAGCGTCATAAAAGTCCCATAATTCAGACAAAATCTGCTGTCCCAGGGATAGGAACACAGGGTTCTGTCTCTCAGGAACAAGGCCAATCAAAACAGACTGCGGGAAGGCACTGAGATTTCCTGATGGGAGTGTGGTGAGATCAGATCTAGACAGGAGCAAAACAGGGTTCAGTCCAGGTAGATCACTGCAAGACAGAACAGAAACGGGGCTGTGCCCAGATGGTGTCACCTGAATCAACACCATTTTAAAGATCTCCCCTTTATTTAGTCACGGAGTGATCTGGAACACTGCAAAGTGGGGAACGCCTAAGCCTTTGGACATGATTCAGAGAGGCATTTTCAGAATTGCTGAGTGGGTGTGGTTTCTAAAGTTTTTTTTTTAAAAAAAGCTCATAATGGCTGCCCACAAGATTGGAGTGTGGTCAGAGTGGGGAGATGGTGTGCCCCACTGTCCTCCCCGGAAGGCCGGCTCGCCCCCTCACTGCTCCTTCCTGGTGCCCGTGCTCTTTATCTGGGTCGCTGTTGTGGAGATCTGAGAGCAAACTGTGTGTGGTGTCCTTGGGGGATTTTGATTGGACTTGCCCTGCCTGGCAGGGTCTGAGTGCGGAATTCACTTCAGGTCAAGACCCTGATTAGGAGCGGATGAAATTCCCTCACAGGAAACCCATTTCCGTTAGAAGCCAGCTCTTCTTCGGAGACGGCAGCTTTTTTGTGTGCGAAAGACAGGATTTGCTTTTAGTTATTTTTTCCCCTGCAAATGCAAAAGTTTTAATCTGCACTTGTGGCTGTCTCACACCACTGATGATGGATCAAGGTATTGTTGCCGTTGTTGTTAATATATTTTTAACTTATTCTACCCCACTCCCCCAAACCCTAAGGTTCTTGGGGCAGCTCACAAAAAAAAAATACAAAAATATCACCCACACACCACAATAATAGCAAAACGGTCAGGCCTCACAACAGTATCCAGCTGCTGCACGGTGGGGATCCACCAGTATAGCTCATGTTGCAGTGGCATTAAATCTGAGCTAGTAGAGGTAAAGGTTTCCCTTGCTCGAAAGTCAGTCAGATCCGATTCTAGGGGGCAGTGCTCATCTCCATTTCCAAGCCGAAGAGCCAGCGCTGTCTGAAGACGTTTTCGTGGTCATGTGGCTGGCACGGAACGCTGTTACCTTCCCACCAAAGTGGTACCTATTTATCTACCTGCAATTTCTTGCTTTCGAACTTCTAGGGCCAGAGACGGGAGCTCACTCTGTCACGCGACACTTGGATCTCGAACTTCTGAGCTACCGACCTTCCGGTCTGCAGCTAAGTGTCTTAACCTCTGAGCCATCGCGGCCCTAAACCTGGGCTCCACCTGTGTAATGCTTAGATGGCTGCCTAAGCCCTTTCCGCTTTGTGCCCTTAAAGTGGCAGAAGTGAACACACAGCAATGAATATCAATTCCTGAACAGCAGAGCAACAAAATTAAAGCAGAAGAGTGGAATTAATTCACAAAAACTGAAACAAATATAAATCAACAGAATACAGACCAAAAAAGCCAGAAGGAATAAACAACAAAATAAACAATAAATAGTGAACTGAGCATCCCAGTTAACAAAAAGCCTTCTCCTCCCGACTCCAGATCCTTACCCAGAATTCATGCCAGGTGAGCAACTCATAGGGAAAACAGCCCTCGGCTAGGGTGCCATGTCTGAAAAGGCCCTGCTGCTTGTAACTGACTGCCTGCCTCAGAGAGAGGGCGAGAAAGGCCAAGATTGATGGACAAGGATGTATGGAAGCAGGCAGGCCTTCACATGGTTTATTCACAATTAGGGCTTTCAAGATTTAAGCCAACACCTTGAACGGGGCATGGCAACAAATTAGCAGCCAAGGCAGATAATATGCTCTCTGTAAGGAGTGCCGGCCTGCAGTTTGGGTGCAGCATTCCTCACCAAAGCATCTTTGGGTCATTCGGGATGGTTTCCGTAGAACGTGTTCCTACGCAGAGGGTCCACACAAGGCGTAAAGCTGTCCTTCTGTTCAGTCCCGTACCTGCCTGGTACCTGCCGGAAGAGGCAACCGGTGAAGAGGTGGAGGGGGAAGGAGGGAGGGAGAAACAGTGCAGATCTCCGTTCTGGCAGAGGAGGGGCTCGTGGATGGCCAGTCAAAGTCATTCTGCTTCTGGACTCCTCATGGCCTCTCTTCTTTACATTCCAAGAAAGCCTTAAGAAGTCCGAGAAGCGGAGGGAGCGGTGGGAACAGAAGCAGCCGAGGAGGCGCCAGATCAAGCAACGCTCCGTCAGCAAGGAGAAGTGGGTGGAGACCTTGGTGGTCGCCGACACCAAGATGGTGGAGTACCACGGGAGTGAGAATGTGGAGAAGTACGTCCTGACTGTCATGAACATGGTGAGTGCGGGAGGAGGGGGCGTGGCGGCAGGGATTTTGCAGGGTGGGTGGGTGGAAGGAGATCCAGTTTGAAGCACCAAACCATGGCCTGGGTGGCTCCTCCAGTACCCATTTCTGCTGAGCCACCGGGGGCCCAGGGTGCCTCGTGGCTTGTCCTGCGAAGGGTCCTGTGGGAGGCACCTGCTGGCAGAAGTATCTTTGCCACAATTGCTTCTATTCTTGTTTTTTTCCAGGTGGCAGGTTTATTCCATGACGCCAGCATCGGGAACCCCATCCACATCTCCATTGTGCGCCTGATCTTTCTAGAAGAGGAGGAGGTAAACAGGAGGGAAAATGACTGGTGTCATGATAATTATCGTGTGGCTTTGTGTGTAGAATAGCCAGGAGATCCTAAGATTGCCTGGCAGCCAGAAGTTCTAGCTCTTCAATGTTATGCACCACTAGGTGGCGAGATAGACTTGTGGGGTTTTTTTTAGGCGAGAGACATTTCAGAGGCGGTTTGCCATTGCCTGCCTCTGTGTCATCATGACCCTGGTATTCCGTGGAGGTCTCCCATCCAAATACTAGCCAGGGCCGACCCGGCTTAACTTCTGAGATCTGACGGGATCCGGCTGTCCAGGTCAGGGCAATGACTGGTGTATTTGCTGTTTATGCCAGGGCTGTGCCGGGTGCTATCCAAAGTTAAAACAGGATTGACAGGATGCCCAGATGGAAAGCTCACCAGTTCTGTGGGGGTGCCTCCAGACACGCAAGCATCTCAGGATGTGAAGTGGTCTGGTTTTCTGGCAGTGAGCCCTGGTCTCCTGGTTGCCTTCGCCAGCGGCTTATTGGGCTTTGCCTGTAGTCAGACTGCTGTGTGCAAAACGCAGGCCCAGTTGCTTGGGAACATTTCCAAGCTGTGGCTGACAGTAGTGAACATTTTTGTTGCACAGATATTTATTGTGCATGTGACTGTGTACTTCTTTACACAAGTGTAGCAACACCACTGCGGGAATATGTTGGAGGAGGCGATGGTGTGCTCATGCACGCATGTTTTGGGCAGAGGGATTCTCCAGAGCCAGAGAGGCAGGGCTCACCTGTCTACGAAAGGACACATCAGGCAATAATGTTTTTAGAAGCACTCATAATACCAGGCTAGCCCCCGATCTCATCAGATCACAGAAGCTAAGCAGGATCGGTCCAGGTTAGTACTTCGATGGCAGACCACCAAGGAGGCAGAGGCAGGCAATGGCAAACAAACTGTTAATTTCTTGCCTGGAAAACCGTACTGCGTCACTGTAATTCAGCTGTGGCTTGACTGCATTTCCCACCAACAATGCGCCATGCGCAAGTCATGCTGTCTGTCCCCAGGATCTCTGACCTTCCACAGAGTTCTGAGAAGCTCCCAACTCTCGGTGGGACTTGAAGCATCTTGTAGTATTTAGTTACCTGGATCAGGGTGGGACGATGGGAATGCTGACACCACGGGTCATTTCGTAGGAAAACAGGTGCAGGAGATCATTAGGATAACTCATTAGCATACCTGGTTTGCATAGGCCACACCCCCTGACGTCACCGGAAGTGTGTCAGAAGGCAACACTCACCCCTCAGGTGCCACTGGACTGTTTTGGATGGCTAGCTATTGGGGGGGGGGGACGTGCAGATCTGTCCTCGCAGAGGAGGGAGAGCTTGTACCTGAACAAAACTTGGTCTTAAAGGTGCCACAGGACTATTTTGGACTGGGGGGCTGGGGGGAGCTCTGCGACTTACCTGGCTGCTTCTTGCACTGACTGAGGGTTGCTGGGAGCAGGGGGCGGGGCTTGTTGCATGTGCCCACCCCCTGGGCTCCTTACTGCTGGAGCTCCGCTCCTGTGCGCTCCTGCAGGAAATGACCCCTGGCTGACACACTGAACCCAAGCATTTACTGAATGAGCGTATCCAGTCTTCCGTGCCCACAGGAGGACCTGAAAATCACCCACCACGCAGACAACACCCTGCGGAGTTTTTGCAAGTGGCAGAAAGCCATCAACGTGAAAGCGGACACTCACCCGCTACACCATGACGTCGCCGTCCTACTCACGAGGTACTGGCACTCAGCCTTTGCCCTTGTGCTAGCAATAGCGTTTTCCCAAACACATCTCGTATTAATCATTTCATGATTGCTTTTCTGATTGTGTTGATTTGACTTGGCGAAATGCCTCCAGGAGGTATCAGGAGAGGTGGCCGGTGTTCCCTCTAAGCTGAGTTAGTGCGAGCTAGCTCACAGTTTTTTAGCCTCTGGCTCACACATTTTTGTCTTAGCTCCAGAGCAAACTAATTTATGCAGTAGCCAAATCGCTCGCTCACAATTTTAATGCCTTTGCCCTTGTGCTAGCAATAGCGTCTTCCCAAACACATCTCATATTAATCATTTCATGATTGCTTTTCCGATTGTGTTGATTTGACTTGGCGAAATGCCTCCAGGAGGTATCAGGAGAGGTGGCCGGTGTTCCCTCTAAGCTGAGTTAGTGCGAGCTAGCTCACAGTTTTTTAGCCTCCGGCTCACACATTTTTTGTCTTAGCTCCAGAGCCAACGAATTTATGCAGTAGCCAAATCGCTCGCTCACAACTTTAGTGCCAGTAGCTCACAAAGTAGAATTTTTGCTCACAGGACTCCACAGCTTAGAGGGATCATTGCTCCAGAGTAAACTAATTTATGCAGTAGCCAAATCACTCGCTCACAACTTTCACGCCAGTGGCTCACAATGTAGAATTTTTGCTCACAAGACTTCACAGCTTAGACGGAGCACTGGAGGTGGCATAAAGGTTTTCTGACGAAGTAACAGACTGGGAATCTCAGCAGCATCCATTGCAGAGTGGAGCTTTCCTAGATCTGGCAGATAGTGCGCCCCCCCCCCATGAGCACAATTGTAAACCATTTAGTGGTCATGGCTTCCTTCGAGAATCCTTTGGGGGGGGTATCGTGATTGTAATGTAATGCAATGAATCGTAGAATGTAATGCAATTTGGAATGGTAGATTGGAATGTATTTCTCTGGTCTGGTGGCAGAGGGAACTTAACACTGCACAATCACAAGGAAAAGGATGCTGTTAGTTACCTCCATGCTTGGGAGGAGACGGATGGAACTTAACAACAGGGTTGCAATTAATTACTCTCAGCATTCCACAATTAAGAAGGGTACATTTACACATCAATCTCCAATTCTGGTATATTTATTTGCGTTACTATGCTTCCCCCCTGGAATTAAATTCAAATGAATGGTGACTGTATAAACTAAGCTTGTTATTCCAATTTGGTCCTTGCATCGGTTAAACATCTTCATTATGTTGTATGCTAATTTGCTGCTCACTCTCTACCTATATGTATGGACTGGTAACTTCCATTTCAGTGTATCTGAAGAAGTACTTGCACACTAAAGCTCATCCCTTGAGTAAAACTTTGTCGGTCTTAAAGATGCCACCAGCAATGCTCCCTCTAAGCTGTGGAGTCTTGTGAACAAAAACTCTACTTGGTGAGCTACTTGGTGTAGTGGTTAAGTGCGCGGACTCTAATCTGGGAGAACCGGGTTTGATTCCCCACTCCTCCACTTGCACCTGGCTGGATGACCTTGGGCAAGCTGTAGTTCTGACAAGAGCTGTCCTTGAAAAAGAGCAGTTTCCGTCAGAGCTCTCTCAGCCCCACCCACCTCACAGGGTGTCTGTTGTGGGGAGGGGAAGGGAAAGGAGTTTGTAAGCCCCTTTGAGACTCCTTCGGGTAGTGAAGGGCGGGATATAAATCCAATCTCCTCCTCCTCCCCTCCTCCTCCTACTAACATTAAAGTTGTGAGCAAGCAATTTGGTTGCTGCGTAAATTAGTTTGCTCTGGCGCCCTCCTTCCTGAGCTAAGACAAAAAGGTGTGAGCCAGAGGCTAAAAAACTGCGAGCTAGCTCACACTAACTCAGCTTAGAGGGAACACTGGCCACCAGACTCAAAAATATTGGGGAACCTGTTAGAGGTTGCTGGCCCTTTCTTAGCATTCCCGTTTGCAGGCAGAGAGGCACCACACGGTTAGTTTGGTTCAGCTGCGGGCACTTCTGCCAGTGATTGTAACCGTGTCTTTCTTATTTGTATGTTTCTGCCCATCTGGGGAAGGAAAGACATCTGTGCTGCCATGAATCGTCCATGCGAGACGCTGGGCTTGTCTCATGTCTCGGGCATGTGCCAGCCCCACAGGAGCTGCAACATCAACGAGGACACCGGGCTTCCTCTGGCGTTCACCGTGGCCCATGAGCTCGGACATAGGTATGGGAAGGACTGGCTGTTTCCGCCTTGACCTTGCATTTGGAGGCATCAGGCCCTCCGTGTGGAACTGCCGCTGTCTAGAATGCAGCTACTGACTTCTGCTTTTATTACATTCTGCAAGCCAACGTTTCGTTGTCAACTACAGAAACACTGCAGGTTCCCCAAATTTGGTGTTTTGCTTTGGTAAATTTTAAGGAAAAAAAATGCAAAACCAATATGCAAAAGCAAAGTATTTCAGCCTTCAGAAACTCTGTGTGCGTGCGCGTGTGTAAGGTCCCAGTCAAATCACTCTCCACACACACTTTGGCAGTGATTGCTTTATTTAGAGATATGAGATGCTGTGGGTTCAAGCACTTTGTTAGGACCCATTTGCAGAGGCGGGAAAAGACAGGATATAGGTAAAGCCCCTACATTCAATGCTCACCTACGTCAGCGTTACGACAGTGACTCTGAAAGATATACGTCCTGGACTACTTGTTCTCCAGCTCCACCACTTCTGATCGATGGGCAACTCCACCAAGTAGGGGAAACAATTCTCAACTCCTTGATTTGCACTGCTTGTATTTTGTCTCCTTATTGCTGCCCTCGTTTGCCGTTGAATTCCTTCGTGGGGGGGAGGGGAGAGTGTGTGTAGCTTGCTAGGGAGGATTGCTTGGTAATTTTCCTAAGGGCCCCCCCGAAGACATCTTTCACACTAGAAATGTCCTTGGAGTAAGACTGTGTCTGGCTAGATAGTGACAGTATATCTTTCAGAGTCACTGTCGTAACGCTGACGTTGATGTGAATGGAATTTTGGGGCTTTACCTATATATTGTCTTTTCCCGCCTTTGCAAATCGGTCCTAACAAAGCGCTCGAACCCACAGCATCTCATATCTCTAAATAAAGCAATCACTGCCAAAGTGTGTGTGGAGAGTGATTTGACTGGGAACCTGACAGTGTGTGTGTGTGTGTAAGAGAGAGGGAGAGAATCCACCGGCCTGTCCCCTAGGGGCGTTGTGCAGATCCTGCGGGAGGGACTTGCCAGCCTGTGTGAGGGCATCCGTAGCGGGCCGCCCCTGCAGGCCTGGGGAGAGGGCCCCCCTCTGGCGTGCCCGAAGCCCTCACCCAGCCCGAAGTTCCTTGGTGCCTGTGTCTGGGTCCGCGGCTCACCTCCCCACCCCCTCGGGGGGCTGTGCTCTTGCAGTTTTGGGATTCAGCATGACGGAAGCGGCAATGACTGTGAGCCAGTTGGGAAAAGACCTTTCATCATGTCTCCACAGCTCCTGTACGACACCTCGCCCCTCACCTGGTCCCGCTGCAGCAGGGAATACCTCACCCGCTTCCTGGAGTAAGTCAGGGGGGAGGGAGGGGGGTGCGTTTCCATTACCAGGGCCCTCCCTGCATGCGGGGGCGGGGATGAGACTCTGTGATAGCAAAGAGGCAGTGCATGTGGTGGGCTGGGCTGCCTCCATCTCTGGGAGAGAAATGCTTGAGACACCCCCCCACGCCCAAGCACCAAGAATACAGAGCATCACTTGCCCCAGACCGAGGGTTCCTGTCTATACCTTGGGGCTAATAGCCACTGATGGACCTCTGCTCCATATGTTTATCCAATTCCCTCTTGAAGCCGTCCATGCTTGTAGCTGCCACCACCTCCTGTGGCAGTGAGTTCCATATGTTAAGCCAGTTTGGTGTAATGGTTAAGTGTGCGGACTCTAATCTGGGAGAACCGGGTTTGATTCCCCACTCCTCCGCTTGCACCTGCTGATATGACCTTGGGTCAGTCACAAGCTCTGGCACAGCTGTCCTTGAAAAAGAGCAGTTTGTGTCAGAGCTCTCTCAGCCCCACCCACCTCACAGGGTGTCTGTTGTGGGGAGGGGAAGGGAAAGGAGTTTGTAAGCCGCTCTGAGACTCAAAGTGAAGGGCGGGGTATAAATCCAATCTCTTCTCTTCTCTTCTTCTTCTTCTTCTTTGGGTGAAGAAGTACTTCCTTTTATCCGTTCTAACCCGACCGCTCAGCAATTTCATTGAGTGCCCACAATTGTCTCGTATGGTGAGAAAGGGAGAAAAGTACTTCTTTCTCTACCTGCTCTATCCCATGCATAAATTTGTAAACCTCGATCATGTCACCCCTCAGCCGCCGTTTCTCCAAGCTAAAGAGCCCTCAAGCGCTTCAACCTTTCTTCACAGGGAAAGTGTTCTAACCCTTTTATCATTCTAGTTGCCCTTTTCTGCACTTTTCCCAATGCTATAATATCCTTTTTGAGGTGTGGTGACCAGAACTGTATACAATACTCCAAATGAGGTTGCATCATTGATTTACACAGAGGCATTATGATACTGGCTGATTTGTTTTCAGTTCCCCTTCTAATAATCCCCAGCATAGCGTTGGCCTTTATTAATTGCAGTCGCACACTGTCTTGACATTTTCATTGAGTTATCTACTATGACTCCAAGTTCATTGAGTTATCTACTATGACTCTTGGTCAGTCTCTGCCAGTTCTTGCTTGCTTTTTCTCACGCTGGCTGGGTCTCGGGGATTCATGCACAGTTGCGTGAAAGAGAGCCGCAGCTATTTTTCACAGGGTGGCCAGCTCCTGTCCAGCGTGCACATAGAAGTCACAGCGACGTCTCTCTGCTCGGCAGGTGTGTGTTTGCATAGGCCAGATGGGCACTGAGTGGCTTTCAGGGGAAGAGGCAGGGAGGCTCTTTGACCTGCAAAGAGTTGAAGTTGCTTTGCAGGCCGGAGGGTCCTCGGTCTGCTCCTTGCTCCTGAAGAGCTTCTGCAGACCTCCGCCTTCCTGGGCTTGGGGCCTCAGGGAGGTTGCTCCCGCAAGCACCTCTGTTTGGAATGAGCACCAGTCCGGACGATCCCTCCCGGATACCAGATCAGTCCCGGTGCAGCTGCACTTGAGAGCAGTTTGGTGTCGTGGTTAAGTGCGCGAACTCTAATCTGGGAGAACCGGGTTTGATTCCCCCACACCTCCACTTACAGCCAGCTGGGTGACCTTGGGTCAGTCACAAGTTCTCTCAGAGCTGTTCCTTCAAGGACAGTTCTCTCAGAGCTCTCTCAGCCCCACCTACCTCACAGGGTGTCTGTTGTGGGGAGGGAAAGGAGTTTGTAAGCCACTCTGAGACTCCCGAGTGAAGGGCGGGGTATAAATCCAATCTCTTCTTCTTCTCCCTCTCCCTATCCTCCTTTTTCTGGAAAGGGTTTGTGTCAGCCAGTCTCCATTCTGCAGAGCGTGGCATGGAGCGGAGGTCGGTGTTCGCTCTGTCCCGCCTGGCTGGGTCTGCCAGCCAGGGATGTCTGCTAGTGACCAGCCCCGACCCTGGCCTAGTGGGAGCCGGGCCAAGGCCAACGCTGCTTCCCAGCCATACTCATTCTGGCAGTTGTTTATTTCTAGCCTCCTGTGGCTGCCGACTCTTCTGGGCAGCGGAGAGCAGAGTCTGGAGCCCGGCCCCCGTCTAGGCTCTCGCTTGGCCCAGCGGCTCGACCCTTTGGCCACCTGCCCCAGACTGAGAGCCCCTATCTATACCTTGTGGCTAATAGCCACGGATGGATCTCTGCTCCATACGTTTATCTAATTCCCTCTTGAAGCCGTCCATGCTTGTAGCCGCCACCACCTCCTGTGGCAGTGAATTAAGGCCACCCTGACAGTAAACATCTGCAAAGCTTTCCTTCCATGTCTATATGTAAACAGACAGTTTTCCTCAAAAAAACCCCTCCCACAGAGAATCTTTGCAGTCCGTTTTTCCCGAGTAGTTTTCGAAGCTGAGGAGGAGAACACGTGGTTTGCAGGCGGGAGGTTCGGGGCTCACCCTTGAGGGCTGGGGAGGATTTCTGCAGTGGCCCGGACAGGAGGAGACGTGGGAGATCTTTGACTGGACCTTCACAGCCATTTTGGACAGTATGCTGCAGCCCTGATTCAGTGGGGCATGGGGTGGAGAGAGGAAAGGGGGATTGATCCCTTCACTCCCCCACAGTTTCATTTATCAAAAGCAGCACCGCCCCTCTCCCTGCGCTGCTGTGTATTTGTGTAAAGTGCTGTCCAGCCACTGCCCACTCAAGACGATGACCCCAGCCAGGGGCTCTCAAGGCAAGCGAGAAGCAGGGGTGGTTGGTGTGGCGTCCTCTCTTCAGGGAGGACTGGTTTTCCCTTTAAATGGGCTCTTTGCTTTTGTAAACGGGGTATAGTTTCTGCTGCCACCAGGGATTTAAGGATTTCCAAACCTTCTGTTGCTTTTTTGCTGGTAAGGTGACCTAGAGTCGGGGCTTTTCAGGGATCTATGTGGTCCTGAAGAAAGATAGAACTAAATTCGGGGATAAACTTGAACGAGAGATGATTTATTGAAGTAAGAACAAAATATGAGGTTGGTTATTCTGTAACTACCTTGGATAAAGGGACTTGAAAATATGTCTGTCAAATGTATCACACACACACACTGCCTTTTTTCCCCTTTACTTTTTGTTGGTTTTGACACTCAGTTCCAACTTTAGCAGGAGTCACTCTTTCCTATAGTCAGCCACACAGGCTAAGGACACATATACTGCCCTCTTTAAGAACTCACTCAGAACTGACTGAACACTCACTGGCTTAACTCTCCCACTGAACAATTCCAACCGATTTTCCTAACTGTCTCTCATAACTGACACACTGACACACCCACACAGCTTCACTTCAAAAAACCCTCCCACATGCTGTCATCCACCAATCACAGCACATTTGTCTCTCTCAATCACTCTAGTCTACTAACCATGCACTCCAACCAAGCATTTAAAGGCGCACACACTCTCATAACACAAGGAACCTTTACAGTTGGCCATTACTTCCCTCCGCAGAGCCTTCCCCGGCCGTCCCCCATCCAAGTACCGACCCTGCTTAGCTTCCAAGATCTGATGAGTCGGGGCTATACCAGGCCACCTTCTCACCTTCCCTGCCTTGCTAACACTGCTGGGAAGATTCCACTGTGTAGCTGGCCCGGCATTTGCACCTCAGCGGGATGCTCCCGTCTCCTCTGGTTCCTCTTCCTCTCCCCAGCTGGTCTTTCCTCCGGAACAGAAGAGGGCCGGGAGGGGATGGGGCTCTTTTGTTTACTCCGTTCCGGCTCAGAGATGGCCGGCTTCTGCCTTTCCTGCCGGCTGAACATGGTTGCTCAGCATCACAAACAGCAGCACCGGGGAAGGAAAGGCTCTTCTCCCCCCCCCCCCGGTGCCTTTTCTCCTCCGCCCTTAATCAGGGATCAAAACAGAGGCTTCGCCTTTTAAAATGCCCTGGCTGCTTCGCTGCGGTGCCTGAAATCTTGCTTCCTTCCTCTTTGGTTTGAGGTGCTTCGCCGCCAAGTACGTGGCTTCCTCTGCCGCTTCCCACATCCCTTTCCGATTACAGGCATCGTTTTGTGTGTCTGCTCTTTTATTATCTGAATGTTTCTGCTTGCAGCCGCGGTTGGGGGCTCTGCCTGGACGACCCACCAGCCAAAGATGTGATAGACTATCCCTCCATCCCGCCGGGAGTCCTCTACGATGTCAGCCACCAGTGCCGGCTACAGTACGGACCCTACTCCACCTTCTGTGAGGACATGGATGTAAGGAAGGGCTGGCTGTCGGTCTCCGCATTGATTTCTGGTGTGACGTAGAATTGTGAAATAGGTGTTGTGTCTTTGTCTGCATGGAAGCCCCCTTCGGAAGGGAACACCTCTGTAGGAGTCAGTTTAAGCGAGATCGGGGTGAGCCCAGTGCGGGCCCTTTGCACAGATTTTTGCATTTGATTGCTGCCCTTCAAAGACTAAGGCAAGAGCTAATTATTGCGGCCCCCCCGAACTGTAACTGCATTTGCTCACGCTGGCTCGTCCCCTCCTAGCCAAGAAGGCCGAAAGCACAACAAAACCCTCTGTGAAACAGGACAGCACCATAAAGTCATGTGATGAAACGCATAGTCTTAAAGCCACATGGAACAGCAGTAACTCTCAGCAGGGGACCAAGATGCCACTCAGATGGGTCACCTGAAAGTGCTCAGCCCTGCCAGTCCTCCACCAAATGGCTTCTGGAAGAGGAAAGTACAAGGAAACCCTGTTCTCCTTGCTCTTCCATCTCTCCTCTCTTTAGGGCTTGGCGTGTTTTCCTTCCGTTCCTTTTCTCTTTGTGGAAATATGAATTGCAAACTCATCAAGGCAGGGACCTGTCCTTTTGGTTTATGCCCCTCTGCGAAGAGCCATAGACTATTTAAATCAAGGGTGTCAAACATGTGGCCCGGGGGCCGGATCAGGCCCCCGGAGGGCTTCTGTCAGGCCCGCAGTGGAACTGCCTGTCTCCTGCTGCTTCTTCCAGTTCTGCTGCTGCTGCGTCATCATAGGTCTGCAGCTTACAGATGCACAACCTGAACAGCAGACTCAAGACTGCCACAGCACAGACGTTTTGATGCAGTAATTCAGAGCGAGAGGTGTCAGTTAGCAGACACTGTTAAATAAACAAAATGTTGCAAGCGTGCTAATGTTTTATTTATTTATTTATTTATTTATTTTATTTAAATTTATAACCCGCCCTCCCCGCGAACGGGCTCAGGGCAGCGTGCAGACGGGGCCAATGCCCAATACATAAAACATTAAAACTGCATTTAAAAATATTCAGTACAACTTAAGTGCTCGCCATAATATCTAACAAGGGAACAGATGGCGTCATCAGGATAGTATCCTTAGTGGCCACAGCTCCACGCAGTACCACCATTTTAGCGCTCACAGTGAGTTGGTAATAATGAGCATGTTTTCATTATAAGTAAAAAAACCCCTTTGTGTTGGTGTCCTTTATAAAGTTTATATCTCCGCTACCTGGCGTTACATTTTGTGGCACACCTGGCCCGGCCCAACAAGGTCTCATTTATGTCAGATCCGGCCCTCATAACAAATGAGTTTGACCCCCCTGATTTAAATCCTCCTCTTCCTCCTCATTTCAGGCCCCTTTCTCAAGGAACCCCTCCCCCAAAGGCCCGCGTTGTCTCTTGCCAGGTTTCACGAGGGCCATTCATTGCAAAGAGCACAAATGCTCAGGAGTTGGCCTGCCGGGGGCGTGGGCTGCTCAGACTGAGGGGTCAGAAGCATCTGAGGCCCTTCCCCCTCTCTTTTCCAGATGTGTTCTGAACTGATTGCATCTGGAGAATGTTGTCCTTTTACCCCCCTCTCCAGAGCGTCTGCAGCACACTGTGGTGCTCCGTGGGGAACACGTGTCACTCCAAGCTGGACGCGGCCGTCGACGGAACCAAATGTGACGAGAAGAAGGTAGGGCGACCTCCGGAGCCCCTGCTCTGCTGCTCTGGGGCAGGTCTTGGTGGCCTCCTTTTTACCATCGTTATTTCGGGAAGTGCTGGGCAGAGGCTGTGAGTTCCAGGGGAAGAGCAGCGGGGCGGGGGGTCTCTTCCATCCTTTTCTCTTTCACCTCCTTCCCCACCTCCAAGCCGCGTTTACCTGTTGGTGGGGAACGTGTAGGGGTACTGTCATGGCTCAGGTGGGGTGTCACCTGACGCTGCCACAAGTTCTCGGTCACAAGTTCTCTCAGAGCTGTTCTCTCAAGGGCAGTTCTCGGGAGAGAGCTCTCTCAGCCCCACCCACCTCACAGGCTGTCTGTCTGTTGTGGGGAGGGGAAGGGAAAGGAGTTTGTGAGCCGCTCTGAGACTCCTTTGGGTGGTGAAGGGCCATGGGGTATAAATCCAATCTCTTCTTCTCTCTTCTTCTTCAGTTTGGTGTAGTGGACTCTAATCTGGGAGAACCGGGTTTGATTCCCCACTCCTCCTCCACTTGCACCTGCTGGATGACCTTGGGTCAGTCACAAGTTCTCTCAGAGCTCTTCTTGAAAAAGAGCAGTTTCTGTCAGAGCTCTCTCAGCCCCACCTCCCTCACGGGGTGTCTGTTGTGGGGAGGGGAAGGGAAAGGAGATTGTCAGCCAGTCTGAGACTCCTTCGGGTAGTGGAGGGTGGGGTATAAATCCAACCTCTTCCTTTTCCTGCCTGGTTCTTCTACCTGGAGATGCTGAGGATTGAACCTGGGACCCTCTGCGTGCCAAGCAGATGCTCTGCCACTGAGCCACGGCTCTTCCCCTGAAGCCTCCTCCCTGTGCTGCGCTCTGATGTCTGAGAGCTGAAGGGGGCTGCTCGCTTTTGAACCACTGATGATGACCGTAGGGGGAGCGGCCACCGAGTGTGTTGTCTGTCTACTGTGCTGGCTGGCTTGACTTGCTCCTGCCTCCCCCTTTCTCCGCAGTGGTGCTTCAACGGGGAGTGCGTGCACATGGGGTACCGCCCAGAGTCCATCGACGGAGGCTGGGGCGCTTGGAGCTCCTGGGCCGCCTGCTCACGGACTTGCGGTGCCGGACTGCAGAATGCGGAGCGGCAGTGCAACAGGCCCACGTGAGTCCCTCTGCTCCCAAGCCCCGCCTTGGGGAGGTCATGTGGTTCTCTCCTCACCGATTCCTTGCTGTCCTCCGTCTGGCTCTAAGGGCCCCTGACCGACCCGTCCAGGAGCAAAGCGGGGCCAGCCGCATAGGCTAGGGGTGTGGGGTGGGGGGAATGAGAGAGGTGGGAAGATGTTATTGTCAGACTCATGCAGCCATCAGTCCTCCACAGCTTTCTTTCAAAGAAAGTTTATTGAGACAGTAGACAGTATGCAGATATATCATGGCGTCTCGTGTTAGAACTGGATAGATGCCCGCGAAGCAAGCAATTATACATAACTCAAAGAAACCCCCTGATGGCTAGGGCTGCCATGTCCCCCGGGGGGGGGGGGGGTTCCCCCCCCAAAGGTAACCCCCCCCGGGGGGGGGGGCGCCCTTCCCCCCGGGGGGGGGGGGGGATTGCCCGCCCAAAGGGCCCCCAACCCCGCCAATCCAGATCAGGCTGGCGGGGGAACCCCGCCTCCAAATTGCCCGGTTCCGGCCATGACGTCACCTGGAAGTGCTCTGGCCCATTAACTCATTAGCACCTTTGTGCGAGGTCCTGGCTGCTGTTAAAACTCAGGGCTCAAGGATCTCCGCCCTCTTGAACGTGCTTCTTTTCGTCGGCTAGCCAGCTCCTGACGCTTCCGATCCCTAAGCCTGCTTACAGGTGGGGGAGATGCAGGTGGTGAGCTGCTTGTGGCCTGCTCAGTCCCAGGTGCAAACCGTCCTGTAGTTGATTCAGATTGCTGTGTATCCTCCTCAGTACTTACAGTAGGTGCAGATCCTGATGCTTCTTCAGCTCTTAAAGGCACTGAATCCTCCCCTCTTAGGCTGTCAGGAGCTGGCTCTGGGGCTGAGTCAAGGACAGACATGACAACACCCCCCCCACACACACAGTGTTCCCTCTAAGCTGAGTCAGTGTGAGCTAGCTCATAGTTTTTTAGCCTCCGGTTTACACCTTTTTGTCTTAGCTTAGGAAGGATGGCTCTGGAGCAAACTAATTTCTACAGCTGCCCAATCACTCACTCACAACTTTAAGGCCGGGAGCTCACAAAGTAGGATTTTTGCTCACAAGACTCCACAGCGTAGAGGGAGCACTGCCCCCACACCCCCACGAAAGCAAAATTTTTGGCCACGTGTCCAGGGTTGAGCATCAAACTCCCTCCCAGCTGAACTTGGCAGGGCCATGGTGGGATGTGGTGTCGCACACAAGCGGAGGGTCTTCTCTCGACGCCCCCGGCTTTGATGCATTTTTCTTTAAACTCTGGTCAGCGGTGAATAGTCAGACATCGGGCGGCTGCTCATGAAAGCAACCCTTGTTTTCCAGGGGAGGACGGAGGGGTGGGAGGAAGGGGCCCCGGCCTCACAGACATTGTGCTGTGTGTTGTTGTTGCTGTTTTTTCTAAAGTGAATGAGTCACTCGGGCCAGGCCCGCTTTGAATGATTAGTGAAATCTGTTGAGAGATGAGCAGCATCCTTTGGAGAGATAAAAAGACAGCAAAGCAGCGTTTCCTCTTTTAATTTGGGTGTCTCTTATCAGCCAGTCTCCCTCCTCCCCCCCACGACACAAAAATGCATGCCACAGCATTCCAACCGCCCCGCCCCACCTCACCCCCATGTGCAGAGAGTACTCCCCAAGCCAACGGGTAAATCTTTGTTCGAACAGGAAATATCGGGCTGTCGCGTCATCATCTTATTTTCCTTGGTACAAGTGTATGATTTGATGATTTGTTTAAACGGAACCTTCCAAAAATAAAATGAGGTGTTTTCCTTTTTAATCAGATTTTTTTTAGAATTTCAGTTGGGTTAACCGTGAACCAGTTTATAGAGTCTCTCTTTTTAAACGGTCTGGGTTTAGGTAAAGCCTACGCTTTTGGTCGCCCAAATGGAATCTTAAACTTCTGACAGTCCCCCAACCAGAGGCTGCTTTCCTGTGTGAAAACAAGGCGTTGCGGGGGTGGTGTGGTGGTGACCCCTGCCTTCCCAGGGGAAGCACTGCCAGTGGCACAAGAAGCCACATCTTATGGCGGGGCCAAGCACTAGCGAGTCCCTGCATAGACGGCTTCAAAAGGGAATTAGAGAAGCATATGGAGCAGAGGTCCATCAGTGGCTATTAGCCACAAGGTATAGATAGGGGCTCTGGGGCAAGTGATGCTCTGTCATCTTGGTGCTTGGGGGGGGGCAGTAGCGGGAGGGCTTCTAATGTCCTGGCCCCACTGGTGGACCTCCTGATGGCACCTGGTATTTCTGGCCACTGTGTGATACAGAGTGTTGGACTGGATGGGCCTTTGGCCTGATCCAACATTGGCGTCTCTTATGTTCTTATCTCATCCATGGGACCCAGGTGGGCAGTCTTGGTCCTTCTCTTTCATGCCATCCCCTCTGCTCCGATTTGTTCTCACACCAAAAAGTGCACAGCAAGGACATTTCCTTCCCTTTCTGCGGCCTACTCGTTGCGCTCCCTTGCTTCTGGAAGGATCTGGACACTTAGAAGCGAACGCCAGGCCTTTTGATTTGGAAGGGACGTTCCATTTCGCTCCGTGGAATTTATGTCTAAATAAGGGCCCAGAGCAGATGTTGACATGAACAGTTTTAAGGAAGCAGCAGCTGGTGTGTTGTGTGTAGGGGGGGGATTCAAGGGCACAGCATGGGATATAGAGATGTTTTCCTCACATGGGGCCAGTGAAAGAGAGGGGGGAGAAATCTGCACCAGGAAAACTGGGGAGAGGGGAAGGGTAGACACCACTGTTTGGTGTCGTGGTTAAGTGCACGGACTCTAATCTGGGAGAACCGGGTTTGATTCCCCACTCCTCCACATGCACCTGGCTGAATGACCTTGGGCAAGCCATAACTCTGATAAGAGCTGTTCTTGAAAAAGAGCAGTTTCTGTCAGAGTTCTCTCAGCCCCACCTACCTCACAGGGTGTCTGTTGTGAGGAGGGGAAGGGAAAGGAGTTTGCAAGCCGCTCTGAGTGAAGGGTGGGGTATAAATCCAATCTCTTCTCTTCTTCTTCTTCTCTTCCCTCTAAGCTGAGTTAGTGTGAGCTAGCTCACAGTTTTTTTAGCCTCCAGCTCACACATTTTTGTCTCCGCTCAGGCAGGAGGGCTCCAGAGCAAACTGATTTATGCATCAGCGAGATCGCTTGCTCACAACTTTCACACCATGAGCTCACAAAGTAGGATTTTTGCTCACAAGACTCCACAGCTTAGAGGGAGCATTGGTAGACACCCCTCCACTCATGCCCCCAGTGCCAACAGTTTTCCCACTGCAGCTGCAATTATCAAAAACTACAGGAGGTCCATTTAGAGCTGCCCCACCCACCATCACATCCGTGTTGGCCATGAGAATATGATTTTGTCTTATTATCTTATTCATTTATACCCTCCTTTCTCCCCAACGGGGTCCCAAAGCAGCTCACGTTGTCATCCCCCCCTTCATGTTACCCTCACAACAACCCTGTGAGGTCGGTTAGGCTGAGAGGGTATAAGTGGCCCGAGGTCACCCACCCAGCTTCCGTGGCACAAGCGGGGTTTCGAACCCGGGTCTCCCAGATCCCGGAATTACATTGCAACCACTCCGCACACCGCCTTTCAGTCCTGCACATTGGATTGCTTTGCTAGCTTTCAAGGAAGTGATCCCGTTTAGTGTCCTTCCCTGCTGTACAGGGGAAGGGGAACCACAATGCCCAAAGGAACGGGGGGGGGGGGGGGGATTTTGCACAGAAGAAGCTGAACACATTTATTCAATTCAATTTATTATGGGTCTGTATGACCAAAGTCTTGACCAAAAAGAGAATGCAAAAGGGGTAAAATAGGTACATAAAATTGACATAAAATATGACAAAATACATAGTCACAATCAGTAAACATATAAAACCCAGGCATAGCCCAGAGAATAAAAAAGACCTGGGGCAGAGCCAACTAACTAAAATCCTCCGAAGATTGAAAGTCGGTGTAGGTATTTGCAAAGATGATAAGTTTTCACTGTTTCTTGAGAGCAGCAACCTTAGCCAGGAACCACGCCACGTTAGCTGTTATCAGTCCATCGGCATTTGAATCAGATAACAATACTGAAAGCACCCAAGGTTGCGAGGGAAGAACACATTTATTGAAGTATCTGCTGCGAGACCTTCTGCCTCAAAAGATCTAGATGGTCTAGCCTAGGAGGTGCCGTCGGATGCTTTTTTGGTTTCTCTGCCACAGACGAACATAGCTGCCCCCTTGGAACTGGTAAACAGACATTTGTGTTCAGTCTCCAAGCAGGTATCGTTTTTGGATTAAGTGTTTAGGTTCTACAGAGGCACCAACTGAATATATGTTCTCTGTGATAACAATTTTTTTTTCTTTTGCCGCTTCGTTTCGGAAGTACATGAGCTCCAAAATGGGAAACTTCTTTTAAACCAGCAGTTCCAACCGATCATTATAAGTGACCTAGATTTGAACCAAATCCCACCCCCTTTACTCCAGTGTCAGTTTAACTAGGAAAGCTTCTTGCGTTTAACGTTGAGATTGTTCTTAGATGTGTTTGTTTGTTTGGAGTGACCTGGTTATTGTGACCTGGCATATTTGGCTAGATTGGGGGGGTGGGTCGGCAGCTGGTGGGCAGGGGGCCAGCTGAGCAGGCCCAGCTCAGATCCCCCCCCTCCATTTCAGCAGTAGAACCATCTCTGTCTGCTTCCTGGCCATTTCCTGGGACTGTCTTTTCCTTCCCGGGGTGTGCTCGGCACGGGGGCGCCTGCGTCGCATCTCTTAGTTGGCTTCTCTCCCAACGCCAGGCCAAAATATGGTGGCAAATATTGCGTTGGGGAACGAAAGCGCTTCAGGGTCTGCAGCATGAAGACCTGCCCCCCGGACCAGCCGTCCTTCCGCCACATCCAGTGCAGCCGCTTTGATGCCAGGCCCTACAAAGGGAAGCTTTACAAGTGGACCCCAGTTCCTAATAACAGTAAGCATCTCTCTTGGCGTCGCGTTAGCAAAGTGATAAAAGATGGAGAGGGCTTGCGGGGCTTTTTGCGCATTTGTGTTGGAAGCCTAATGCGGGTAAGTGCTTCCTCTGCCATACGCAACTTGGCTGACTTACTCGAGTCACCTAAAGCTCTTTCATCTGCACATGGCTTCTGCCTGTGGGGATCACCCTTCAATCTAGAGTTAGTGAGTGAAGAACACTCTTTAACTAGTGAAGGCTTGGAGACACTCACTGTTGAAGAGGAGGTGTTTAGCATGGTCTCCAGTGAGATACTTTGCTCTTAGGGAAGGGGATTTCCAGCTGAGCTGGATCCAGGCACAGTGAAGAGATGTTTTGGTGCCTCCTGGTCTTGCATGCTGCTCAAGGACTGACTGAACACCACAACTGGGCGAGGAACTGATTTCCACCTGGATTAGATTATCTAGTGGACTTTGGGTTTAGGAAAGGTGCCTCTCTTGCTCTGTAAGCTCCATTGGCCATGCACTGGCTGAGATCTGGCTTCCGAGTGCTGCATGCCTGGGGGACTTTGGCGGAAGGGAGGGAGGAAGGATGGAGGCAGGGAGGTGGAAGGAGGGAGGGAGGAAGGAGGGAGGGAGGGAGGAAGGAAGGAAAGAGGCAGGGAGGGAGGATGGAAGGAGGGAGGGAAGGAAAGAGGGAGGGAGGGAGGGAGGGAGGGAGGAAGGAAGGAGGGTAGGAATGAATCCGGGTGCTGTTGACCTGGCAAGTGACTTGGTTGTTCTCTTCGGTCTCTGCAGTTAATCCCTGTGAACTGCACTGCCGTCCAGAGAACGAGTTCTTTGCAGAGAAGCTCCGCGACGCAGTCATCGATGGGACTCCTTGTTTTGAGGGGAACTCCAGCCGGGACATGTGCATCAACGGGATCTGTAAGGTAAGCTGAGGCCTGGCCTCTTATCAGGGGTGCTGACTGTGATGGCAGACCCTGAAAGCCCAGTCAGCCTCATCAGGAGAGTCATGTGGGCTGGTGTAGAAAACGTGCGACCCTGAAGGATGTGTTTGACTTGGTGGAGGGAGAAGAATGGGCCAGGCAAGGAGAAAGGTGGATGGACAATTAGCGCCATTTTTCCGGTCCTTCTCTCAGCCAAGGACAATCCAATAGTCATAAGAACATAAGATAAGCCAGTATTGGATCAGGCCAGTGGCCCCTCCAGTCCAAAACTCTGTGTCACACAGGGGCTAGAAATACCAGGTGCCATCAGGAGGTCCACCAGTGGGGCCAGGACACTAGAAGCCCCTCCCAATGTTGCCCCCCCTCCCCAAGAACTGAGAATACAGAGCATCCCTTGCCCCAGACTGAGGGTTCCTATAAGAACACAAGAGAAGCCAGTGTTGGATCAGGCCAGTGGCCCATCCAGTCCAATACTCTGTGTCACACAGGGGCCAGAAATACCAGGTGCCATCAGGAGGTCCAGCAGTGGGGCCAGGACACTAGAAGCCCTCCCACTGTTGCCCCCCCCCAAGCACCAAGAAGACAGAGCATCACCTGCCCCAGACTGAGAGTTCCTATAAGAACATAAGAGATGCCAATGCTGGATCAGGCCAGTGGCCCACCCAGTCCAACACTCTGTCACACAGGGGCCAAAAATACCAGATGGCCTCAGGAGGTCCAGCAGTGGGGCCAGGAGGACACTAGAAGCCCTCCCACTGCTACCCCCCCCCCAACACCCAAGAATACAGAGCATCCCTTGCCCCAGCCTGAGAGTTCCTATAAGAACATAAGAGAAGCCAAGGTTGGATCAGGCCAGTGGCCCATCCAGTCCAACACTCTGTGTCACACAGTGGCCCAAAATACCAGGAGCCATCAGGAGGTCCACCAGTGGGGCCAGGACACTAGAAGCCCTCCCACTGTTGACCCCCCCCCCCAAAGCACCCTCACTTGCCCCAGAGCCCCTATCTATACCTTGGGGCTAATAGCCACTGATGGACTTCTGCTCCAAATGTTTAGCTAATTACCTCTTGAAGCCGTACGTGCTTGTAGCCGCCGTCACCTCCTGTGGCAGTGAATTCCACGTGTGAATCACTCTTTGGGTAAAGAAGGACTTCCTTTTCAACGTGCCATTCAAGGCATTACAAATGGAAACGAGCGGAGGAACATTTTGGTCTCCATGGATGGTCTGCTTCAGGGGAAGAAATTTGTGGGGGGACTCCAACCAGAATCTGTTGAGTTAGAACTGAAATGCAGATTTGATACTATCAGACGTAGCTGGAGCAGGGATCGGAGATAGTGGGCCTGTTATAAAAAATACTGGCTCCTCTTTACAGGAGTGAGTGCGCGCATGTGCGCGTTCAGTCAAATCCCTTCTGAGTCATGTGGCCACCCCAACGCACGAATGGCCTCTAAAAATGTCCTCTCGTGAACAGCCTTGCTCAGATCTGGCAGCTGAAGGCCATGGCTTCCTTGATTGAGTCAGTGCCTCTCATGTTGGGTCTTCCTCTTTTACTATTACCTTCAACTTTTCCTAACGTTATTGGGAGCCAGTTTTGGTGTAGTGGTGAAGTGTACGGACTCTAATCTGGGAGAACCGGGTTTGATTCCCCACTCCTCCACTTGCAGCTACTGGATGACCTTGGGCAAGCCATAGTTCAGTCAGAGCTGTCCTTGAAAGAGCAGTTTCTCTCAGAGCTCTCTCAGCCCTGCCTCCCTCACAGGGTGTCTGTTGTGGGAAGGGGAAGGGAAAGGAGTTTGTAAGGCGCTCTGAGACTCCAAGTGAAGGGCCGGGTATAAATCTAGTCGCCTCCTCCTCCTTCTTCTTTGCCTTCTTCGCCTTCTTCTTCTTCTTTTGTCTTTTCCAGTGAGTCTTGCCTTTTGAGGTATATGTACATGGTTCAACTTCATCCTACTTTGATCATTCATTTGTATTTGGGTGTGATCCGCTCCCACTCTGAGAGGAGTCAGTTTTTTGATTGGACCCTGTGATTGTCCTTGGAGACTGGACCTTCTAGCCCAGAGGTGTCAAACTCATTTGTTACACGGGCCAGATCTGACAGAAATGTCACTTTGTCGGGCCGGGCCAGGCCATGTGTGCCATAAAATGTAACATGAGGTACCAGTGATATAAACTTTATCAAGATTATTTCAGATGCTGAATGGCAATAGCAGGCTTGATTGGATTTGGTGTGATATGCAGAGGGGTAGTAGGGGGTGGAGATATCAGCATTGGTAATAAGACAGGAAACCTAGGTCTCAGTTTGGTCCAGGACGATGCGAAGAATAAATGGAATAAGTCTGAAGAAGTGAGCACAATTTTTAATTGTTAAGGTGCTACTGGATTCTTACTCTTTCTACTCCTATTAGAAACCACAACACTCAAAACTCAGTGGGGGAACATTTTAACCTTCCAGAACATTCAGTTGCTAACTTATGAGCAGTTCTCTTACAAAGGAATTTCAAGGAAGATTAGAAAGAGAGACTGCTGAATCGCAACTGATAATAAAGCTCAAGACAATGCATCCTCCTGGACTGAATGGAGACCTAGGTTTCTTCTCTCATTACCAATGCCTGCTATTGTCATTTGGCATCTGAAATCACTTCACTCTCCATGATATAAGGACAGATGGACTCACATTCTAGCAGTATCTGAAGAAGTGAACAGTGACTCATGAAAGCTCATGCCCTGTCACAAATGTTGTTAGTCTTTAAGGTGCCACTGGACTCCTGCTCCCTTCCACTAATAAAAAAGCTATGCTGTTAGGTCCCCCCGCCACCTGTTAGAACTGGAACGGGGGATCTCTCCAAGTACCACAGGACACTGTGTCTCGATCTCTCTCTTCCCTGCTCTCTCCAGCTCTTTACCTCCCCCTCCCTTCCTCCCTCCCTCTGAAGAAGTGTGCGCTCACACAAAAGCTTATACCTGGAATAAATCATTGTTGGTCTTAAAGATGCCATGGAGTCTCTCCCTCTTTCTCTTTCTCTCTCTCTCTGGCTCTTTCCTTCCTCCCCAAAGGAGGAGGAGGAGCCCTCAGCCAATCAAGTGAAAGAAGGCTTGACTTTCTTTCTCTCCCCTGAAAGCAGGAAGGTGGAGAGAGCTGGGCAAAAGTGAGCTGCGATGCAGGAAGGAGCCAGTTGCTCGCAGCCTGGATAGGGGCCCTGCAGCAATGCTCCCTCTAAGCTGTGGAGTCTTGTGAGCAAAAATTCTACTTGGTGAGCTTCTGGTATTAAAGTTGTGAGCGAGCGATCTCGCTGCTGCATAAATCAGTTTGCTCTGGAGCCCTCCTTCCTGAGCTAAGACAAAAATGTGTGAGCCGGAGGCTAAAAGACTGTGAGCTAGCTCACACTAACTCAGCTTAGAGGGAACACTGCGCCTGCAGGGGCCGGTTCCGGCCCTAGGGCCATATGTTTGACACCCCTGTTCTAGCCACTGTTGGTCATTGCTTCCTGACCTTTCAGTGTGAACCTAAGCAGAGTTATGCCCTTCTAATGTCTTGTGAAGTCAGTAGGCACAGAAGGCTGTAACTCTGTTTAGGATTACACCGTTGTTGTGTGTGACGACCTGGGTCCTGGGCTGCCCCCATCCCCCCCCCCCGTTGACTGTCCTGGCCTGTCTTTCAGAATATCGGCTGTGACTTCGAAATCGATTCCTACGCCGTGGAGGACCGGTGTGGCGTGTGCCAAGGGGACGGGTCCACTTGTCAAACCGTCAAGAAGACCTTTGAGAAGAGCGAGGGGCGGGGTGAGCTTGTGGGCCAGGTTTGTCTCTTGGGTGGGGACTGAATATCTCCGTCGACAGCAGCTAGATGACAGGAAAGAGAAAATATGCACCGTGGATCGAGAGAGAGGCCTTTGGAAGGTTAGCGTTTCAAGCGGGATTTTTGGCAGGAAAAGAGGCCTTGGGGAAGCCATTCCCCCCCCCCCCCCCCCCCGTTAGCTCAGGGGTCCCCCCCGTGGCACCCCCAGACACCTTTTCTGCTGCCTGTCAACGGTTTTTGCAAAGTGGGTGGGGCCAGGCGTGACTTCTGCCTGGGAAGGCCTCTGATTTGCCACTGGAGATACAACTGACCGGGCAAAGTTCCTTTGGGAGCACAGCTGCCACATCACAAGGCTTTCCACGGTGGGAGCCACATTGTGGCTGGCTAAGCCTCCCACAGCTGCCCTTTTGGGGTTGCCCCCACGATGAAGTGTCGAGGTTCCAAAGGTGCCTGCAGCCTCGAAAAGCTTGGTTGACCATTTTCCACTGAACGCCTAGGAAGGGGCAAACCCTCAGAAGGGCCCAGCACTAGTAGGGAAACGCCAACACAGGGACCCGCCCGCCTCTTTCTCAGCACGCCCTGTCCCTTGCCGCTGACTGGCCGCTCACTCCCCTGGGCAGGTTACGTCGATGTCGGGCTGATCCCCGCTGGGGCGCGAGAGATTCAGATTGAGGAAGTGGCCGAAGCTGAGAACTTCCTGGCGCTGAGGAGCGAAGATCCAAAGAAGTACTTCCTGAATGGCGACTGGACCATCCAGTGGAATGGCGACTACGAGGTGGCTGGGACAACCTTCACCTACGAGCGAACGGGGAACTGGGAGAACCTCACCTCTCCGGGCCCCACCGAGGAGCCCGTGTGGATCCAGGTACTTTGGAGAGAGTCGGCTGGCTTTTGGTGCCGTGGTTAGGAGCGCGGACTCTAATCCTCACTCCTCCACTTGCAGGCAGCTGGGTGACCTTGGGTCAGTCACAAGTTCTCTCAGAGCTGTTCTTTCAAGGGCAGTCCTCGAAAGAGCTCTCTCAGCCCCACCCGCCTCCCAGGGTGTCTGTGGTGGGGAGGGGAGGGGAAAGGGATTGTAAGCCCCTCTGAGACTCCAGGTGAAGGGTGGGGTATAAATCCAATCAAGCCAGTTTGGTGGAGTGGTTAGGAGCGTGGAGTCTAATCTGGGAGAACTGGGTTTGATTCCCCACTACTCCACATGCAGCTGCTGGTGTGGCTTTGGGTCAGTCACAAGTTCTCTCAGAGCTGTTCTCTCAAGGAGCAGTCCTCGAAAGAGCTCTCTCAGCCCCACCCACCTCTCAGGGTGTCTGTGGTGGGGAGGGGAGGGGAAAGGAGTTCGTAAGCCCCTCTGAGACTCCAGGTGAATGGTGGGGTATAAATCCAATCAAGCCAGTTTGGTGTAGTGGTTAGGAGCGTGGAGTCTAATCTGGGAGAACCGGGTTCGATTCCCCACTCCTCCACATGCAGGTGCTGGTGTGGCCTTGGGTCAGTCACAAGTTCTCTCAGAGCTGTTCTCTCAAGGGCAGTTCTCTCAAGAGCTCTCTCAGCCCCACCTGCCTCACAGGGTGCCTGTTGTGGGGAGGGGAGGGGAAAGGGATTGTAAACCGCTCTGAGACTCCAGGTGAAGGGTGGGGTATAAATCCAATCAAGCCAGTTTGGTGTAGTGGTTAGGAGTGTGGAGTCTAATCTGGGAGAACGGGGTTTGATTCCCCACTCCTCCACATGCAGCTGCTGGTGTGGCTTTGCGGCACTCACAAGTCCTCTCAGAGCTGTTCTCTCAAGGGCAGTCCTCAAAGGAGCTCTCTCAGCCCCACCTGCCTCCCAGGGTGTCTGTGGTGGGGAGGGGAAAGGAAAGGAGGTTGTAGTGGAGGGCGGGGTACAAATCCAGTCTCTTCTCTCTTCTTCTCCTTGGACAGCAGAATGGGCCAATGGCTAAGGTACCAAACTGGGAGGAGGGAGTTGTAGGTTCTGCGGGGGCTGTGTGCCATTCGCAGTTCATTATTGTAGTTGGCACACGTTCCTTCCTGGCTCAGATCCTCGCTTGCAAAATGGGAATAGCGGAGGCCTGCGTCGAAGGAAGGCTAGAGGGCCATCGCACGGGAAGGCGTCTCGCAAGTGATGCAAGTCAGCCTTTCTCGAGCTGTGGTCCGGGGGCCCTGAGGGCTGCAGGGGGCTTCCGTAAGGCGAGCTGGTCTCCTGCCCACCGAAGACAAGTTAAAAATAGACCCTTCTGCATTTTTCTTTAAACAAAGGGGGGGGCGGAGCTCAGAACCGGCTTCCTGCTCTTCAGGCTCTCTCGCAGCTGTGGTGTGTCTGTGTGTCCTGTGTCATGAAGTCCCTTCTGACTTGGGGCGGCCCCGTGCATCAATGTCCTCCAAAACATCCCCTCCTTGGCAGCCTGGCTCCGGTCTTGCAAACTGAGGGCCTTTGTGGCTTCCTGGATGGGGTCCGTCCGTCTCTTTTCCTGCTGCCTTCCACTTCTCCTGGCAGGATGGTCTTTCCCAGTTTGGCGTCGTGGTTAAGTGTGCAGACTCTAATCTGGGAGAACCGGGTTTGATTCCCCACTCCTCCACTCGCAGCTGAATATAAGAACATAAGAGAGAAGCCAATGTTGGATCAGGCCAAAGGCCCATCCAGTCCAACACTCTGTCACACGGTGGCCAGAAATACCAGGTGCCACCAAGAGGTCCAGCAGTGGGGCCAGAAGGACACCAGAAGCCCTCCCTCTGTTGCCCCCCCCCAAGCACCAAGAATACCCCAGGCATCCCTTGCCCCAGCCTGAGAGTTTCTATAAGAACAGAAGAGAAGCCAATGTTGGATCAGGCCAGTGGCCCATCCAGTCCAACACTCTGTGTCACACCGTGGCCAGAAATACCAGGGGCCATCAGGAGGTCCAGCAGGGGGGCCAGGACACTAGGAAAGCTTCCCACTGTTGATTCCCCCCACAATCTCCAAGAATACAGGGCATCACCTGCCCCAGAGTCCCTATCCATACCTTGTGGCTAATAGCCATTGATGGACCTCTGCTCCATATGCTTATCTAATTCCCTGCTGGATGACCTTGGGCAAGCCATAGTTCTGTCAGAGCTGTCCTTGAAAAAGAGCAGTTTCTGTCAAGAGCTCTTTCAGCCCCGCCTACCTCACAGGGTGTCTGTTGTGGGGAGGGGAAGGGGAAGGAGTTTGTAAGCCACTCTGAGACTCTGAGTGAAGGGCGGGGTATAAATCCAATCTCTTCTTCTTCCTCTTCTTCTTCCTTCTCCTCTTCTTCCTCCTCCTCCTCCTCTTCTTCTTCTTCCTTCTCCTCCTCTTCCTCTTCTTCTTCCTTCTCCTCCTCTTCTTCCTCCTCCTCCTTCTTCTTCCTTCTTCCTCCTCCTTCACGTGACCAAAGTACGAGAGGCTCCATTGAGTCATTTTAGCTTGTAGGGAGAATCCAGGCTGGTTTTGATCCAGAACCCGCTGGCTTATCTTTTTGACGATCCATAGGTCTGGCATAACACCGAATTGCTTTTCACTCTGTTTTCTAAGGGAAAGGATTTCAGGCTAGAGGGAGAGACTCCACTCTGTGTCCGTAAACAATAGCAGCCAGTGGTGCTTTTGAGATGAATGCTGTCAGATAAGGTTGTGTGTGGCCTTCTTTATTTCTTTGAGCAGCTCTGAAAGCTTTCCGGACAATTGCCAGTTGTTGCAGCCTTTCCCCCCCACACACACACAGAGGTTCTGTGCCTTTCGCAGCTGTGTGACAAGAGAAACAGCTGTCCCCATCTGGGGGGATTTTACGTGAACAAGAGAATGGGTCCACAGCAGATACAAAAGCATCCTGAACCCAGATCTCACGAGCCCAAGTCCCACTTCTCTTAGCAGGCTGTGGCCACTGGCTTTCCAAAGTGCTGGGGGGCTGGACTGGCTGGGGGGGGCAGATTCCTCCCTCTTCTGTGTGCTTTGGCCGAGAAAGGGGAACCGTGGCAGTTTGGGGGACAAGGGGTTTCTCTCCGGCCCAGCCGTGAAGTGGTGAAATCCTGGCCACTCCTTGCCTCTTGCAGCTGTTGATGGGGCTTCCGTTTGGAAAAGCAGCACACATCCCGTCTCCAACACACACACACACACCGCACAAAGTACAGTGAGACTCCAGCCAGGCTTCAGAGCCCTGCGCGCACGCGTGTGTGTTTGCAGCCCCTCTTTGGAAGTCGCTGCATTTGGCAGCGGGGAGGCTCCTGCTGATCTGAGAGGCCTTCCTCCAGCTTGCGCCTGGCTTTCCTCCCAGTCCAGCTGAAACAGATCTCCTTTGCGGCCTTCCTCAAAGTGCTGACTCAGGAGGAACGGCTCCCGTGGGGCAGAGGCCTCCGATCTGGGGTGGAGGGGTTGGGGAGGGGGAAGGAGCGCTCTCTGTGCTGCCAGTGGGCCTCCGCCAAGTCATTCCTTGTGCTCCGCTGGCAGATCTCCTTAGCTGCAATCTCTGCGCTGCAAGAACTCCAGATGTGGCCTGAGGCATCTGGCTGGCCCCTGGCCTCTGTGCCTGCCACCCGAGGGGTCCGCTCCGGCATGTTCTGCCACCCCGTGGCAAGGGACCTTGGGGGACACCCAGCCCGGGTTACTCCAGGCCACTTTGGTGGCTCCTGCAGTCGGAGCAACCGTCCTTCTGCCTCCTTTTGCATTGAAGCTACGGGGGTGGCGGTGGGGTCGTCTCCATAGAAGAGGCACGGGGAGGGAGGAGAGAAGGGTGTCCAGTAGTGCTCCCTCTAAGCTGTGGAGTCTTGTGAGCAGAAATTCTACATTGTGAGTTCCTGGCCTTAAAGTTGTGAGCGAGCAATTTGGGTACGGCATAAATTAGTTTGCTCTGGAGCCCTCCTTCCTGAGCTGAGACCAAAATGTGTGAGCCGGAGGCTAAAAAACGGTGAGCTCACACTAACTCAGCTTAGAGGGAACATTGGTGTCCAGCACCCCCGTGGTGGAGTATGGTACGGATTAATGCAGTACCATAAACAGATGCGATATCACAGTATACAATATACAGAAAGCGAGCAAGCACTGTACAGATGACACAGACCACAAGTGCTCAGAAAGTCATGCAAAAAGAGTAAATGTATATGACAAGAATAATGGAGGACCACATGTATGAGTAAAACCAAATTACACCATATAATTTACAGGTCCATGGATAGTGTGAGTCCAGAGGTCATTTCGGGGGGGGGACGCGCGGGGCTTCCTCGCACTCCCGCTGGCCTTGCAGGTCCACCGCCGAGCCCCTGATGTCAGGGGGTGTGGCATATGCTAATGAGTTATGCTAATGAGCTCCCCTAGCTCTTTTTCTACGAAATGACCCCTGTGTGAGTCTGAAGGCTTTTATGCACTGTGAGTGCTGTGCTAAGGATTTTTCCTCCTACATTCACCATTATAAAGTCTTCTGTACATTATGAGTATGAAGGTAATCTTTGCCTCTTAGTATTCAGGATATGGGTTTGATTGTAGTATATGATATTAATAGTTTGGTTTTACTTGTAATTGTAGTAGTGTGAACTTCTTGAAGAAGAGCTGTTGAAACGAAGATCACAATCCGGAGTCTTTGTCCATGTCTGTGTACCATTTATGGACTTGCACTTTTCATGGACCTGTACATTATATGATGTAATTTGGTTTTACTGATACATGTGGTCCTCTGTTATTCTTGTCATATAAATTTACTCTTTTTGCATGACTTTTTTGGCACTTGTGGTCTGTGTTATTTGCACAGTGCTTGCTTGCTTTCTATGGATTAATGCAGACCTGAGCTTTTCATGACTCGCATCTGTTGCCTGAGTAAACAGGTTTTTCAGGCACTGCAAAAAACGGCAAAGCCAGTTGGGCGGGTGCCATAGTGGGACAGAAGAAGTGAGTGTCTGCGCCCTTGGTCACTTCGGCTCTGTCCAGCCTCCTTTACTGGCAATTTGCATCCACAGATTTTTGTAGCCGTTGAAGTTCCTCAAAGTGATGTCACTTGATGCTGGCAGACCTGCTTCCTCAGTAGTTTTGTGGGGTTTTCAGGAGCTCCTTTGGGTTTCCGTCTCACAAGTGTGGACTGCTGTCCAGAAAGGCCACAAGAAAACCAGTCCTGGCTGTTGATTCCTTCCCTGCAGAGAAGTTGGTCTTTTGGGGGCAAGTCTTAGGAGTTAATGAATTCCAGGGCTGGCTTGTTTTTTGCAGGAAAGATGTTTACTTTAACATTCCTTCCCGCCTGAGAAGTCCAGGGATGCTTTCTTTTCTGCCCCCCTCCCCTTCTCTTCTTGGTTGGTGGGAATGGCTGCTTGGTCTCCCAGCTGCCCCGCCACTCAGGACGGAGTTCGGAGGCCCCTCGTCTCTCACACAGGATGTCAAGAGGACATTCGGTTTATCTCCTATTAGAACGTGGTTAATGGGGGGTTCTGCCAAGAAACGAACAAATTTCCCAGTTTTCACATCATTGCAGTGTAAAAGCGTCAATGGGGGACGGGTTTTAAATAGGTGTAGAGAGCTGGGAAGCCCGCAGTGCCCCCTCTAAGCTGCGGAGTCTTGCGGGCAAAAATTCTACTTTGTGAGCTGCTGGCATTAAAGTTGCGAGTGAGCCATTTGGCTGCTGCATCAATGAGTTTGCCCTGGAGCCTTCCTTCCTGACCTGAGACAAAAATGTGTCAGCCGGCAGCTAAAAAACTGTGGGCTATCTCACACTAACTCAGCTCAGAGGGAACACTGTGCATAACGCTCCCTCTCCACCTTCCCATGCGTGCCCTGCCCGTCCGCCAGTCATCACTGCAGCAAGAGTTCTCGAACCTACAGCAAGCATATCTCTAATAAACATTTCACTACCAATAGTGTGTGTGGAGAGTGACTTAGCGGGGGACCTGACAATAAGGGAGAAGTAGAGCCGGGAGGTCAGTCGTTCAGCAGTTCGAGACCCTCTAGTGCCGCATGACGGAGTGAGCTCCTGTCTCTGGCCCCAGCTCCTGCCGACCCAGCAGTTCGAAAGCAAGAAATTGCAAGTAGATAAATAGGTACCACTTCGGTGGGAAGGTAACAGCGTTCCGTGCGCCTCGGTGTCTAGTCATGCCGGCCACATGGCCACGGAAAAGTCTTCGGACAGCGCTGGCTCTTCGACTTGGAAACTGAGATGAGCACCGCATCCCTAGAGTTGGATTCAACTTCCTTTTGAGCAAGGGAAACCTAGAGCAGCCTATCTCAGAAGGATCGGGACCCTTGTGCCAGGAGTGGGGAGGTCTTCGGTATTTCATTGGAGCCGCCCCTGCAGAGGGAGGGAGCAGCGGTGCAGTGGGGGGCCTTGCCTGTGTCCCTGCAAGGAGAATCATCCGCAGGTGGGGACTTGAGCCCCCTGCTCCTGGGGGTCCTGCCACCGTACTCTTTCCAGGTACGGTTGCCAGGTCCCCCTGGGGGGCGGGGAAACCCCCGCTCCATCGGCCCGTTACCCGCTGGCCTGGATCGGGCCGCCGGGGGGGAACCCCACTCCCAGAATGCCGGCAGTGCACAGATGGGCCTGGCGTGATGATGTCGCCCGGAGGTGACATCATCACGCAGGGCATGATGCGGGGGGGGGGGGCGCTCTGTGAATCAAGGGAAAACTCTATGGTTTTCTCTATGAATCATAGCGGTCCCACCCCCAACGTGCCCGACGTGGTGACGTCACTTCCGGGCTGCGTCAAGAAGTCCCGGGGAGAGCCGGGACTCCCCCACTCCAAAGTAAGGTGGGACTTGGGAACCCGACTTCCCGCTCTGCTCCCTTAGTTCTGCACCTGGCGGCTGCCTGACATCAGGAGGCTGTGTCCACAGTGACCTGGGTCTCTCTCTGTCTGTTAAAGACATGTCAAGGTCGGTTGATGTCCACTATGGAATCAAGTGCGATGGCTGTGCTGTCCGTCGCTTGTGTCCCCTTTGTGGTGCAAGCACAGGATACTGCCTAGCAGTGCCACGCCAGGACCAGGTTATGGGATTGGGTTACCCTGCATGCAGTGTTCTCTCTAAGCTGAGCTAGTGTGAGCTAGCTCACAGTTTTTTAGCCTCCGACTCACAGATTTTTGTCTTAGCTCAGGAAGGATGGCTCCAAAGCAAACTAATTTATGCAGTGGCCAAATTGGTTGCTCACAATTTTAATGCTAGTAGCTCACAAGGTAGATTTTTGCTCACAAGACTCCACAGCTTAGAGGGAACATTGCCTGCATGGTATTCCTTTTGCCTTCTTCACAGCATGCAAAATGCGGGGCCGTGGCAGACAAATGGACGGATGAATGTTAAAGTTTATTTTGGGAAAAGTTTAAAAGTTTCAAATTACTTTTAAAAGGCCTTTTTTCATGTTTGCGTTAGCAGCTTGGATGACTCGGGCAGCATACTATTTGGGAAGGCTCTTTGGACTGTGCAGCTGAATTGAAAGATCTATTTTTGAAAGGCGCTTGGGGTGTTCCTCAAGAGCCCTTTGGAGCAATGCCCTCTGGAGCAGGGCTCCAAGAATAACTTGGGTGATAACAAAAGCATTTAGGCGAGCTGCGAGAAGTTTGCAGTCTCTCTCAAGGGACAAACCTCTGCAAGCGGACACTGGAGGCGGTCTGGAGTGCGTCTGTGTTGCAGCACTGGTCCCCTGCGCACGTGAATCTGGCTGGAAATAGTCCTGCGCACTGGTCCCCTGCAGACACACACAATCTCTGTCTCTTTCTTTCTCTGCCCTCCCCTCACCCCTGAGCATTGTGCGCCGGTGAGAATTCTTTTGGACTTGCCATTGTCATGAATCATGCAAGTTAAGCAGCCCGGAAACTGGTTTGCTTTTACAGTGCAGACGTGCCCTTCAGTGGCACAACTGTTTCCATATTTTATAGCTAGCACGTGTTCCTAATGTGCTGTTTGCCAACAGAGTGGGGCTTGTTTTGTTTCCTGCAGTGAGCCATCTCTGCGGCTAGAGATCCTTGCTTGGTCGGCTCTTTGCCACATTTGCACAGGATCTCAGAATTGAAGGAGATCTGTGCATTCCCTTTGCCCTTGATTCCACAGACCTCCAGCAATTGTTCGTTTGAGGCCAGTGGCACCTTTAAGACCAACAAAATTTAATTCTGGGTATAAGCTTTCGTGTGCACAAAGTGTGCAACTGTGCATGCATGTGAAAGCCAACGTTGGATCGGGCCGGTGGCCCATCCAGTCCATCACTCTGTGTCACATGGTGGCCAAAAATACCAGGTGCCATCAGGAGGTCCAGCAGAATTAACCTTTGCTGGTCTTAAAGGTACCACTGGACTCAGACTTTGCTCTGTTGCTTCAAACCAACATGGCAACCCATTTGAATCTGTCACCTGAAGGTTATTTTCATACCCTCAGACTGTCACGGGAAACAACTCATTCCTGTTGCGCCTTCTGTAGGTCTAATGTACATACGCTTTTCCTCTTTGTAATATTCTTTTAATCATCTGAATACAGACAACTGATCAATTCAGGCCTTCCCTGTGTGTGCATAATGTAACAAATGTGCAGTTGTCACCCTGTGGCTCCAGGGCGCCTTTCCTCCAGGTGGTTGGTTGCATTTCCCCAGTGCTCGAGCCTCAGTTAGTTCTCTTTTGCATATTGCGACTGAATATATATCTTTTAAAATCCTTTCCTCTCAGCTCTTATTCCAGGAAAAGAATCCAGGCGTCCGCTACCAATACACGATACAAAGGGAGTCTGATAGCGAGAATGAGATTACCCCAGCCGAGTTCTTCTGGCAGTACGGATCCTGGACGAAATGCACGGCCACCTGTGGAACAGGTGAGGATGTTTCACTTTCCATTTGTGCCGCTCTGTACCATGCCGCTGGTCTTCTGTTAGGAGTGGCTGGAACAATACTCCCTCTAAGCTGTGGAGTCATGTGAGCAAAAATTCTACTTTGTGAGCTGCTGGCATTAAAGTTGTGAGCGAGCGATTGGGCCACTGCATCGATTAGTTTGCTCCTTCCTGAGCTAAGGCAAAAATGTGTGAGCCGGAGGCTAAAAAACTGTGAGCTGGCTCACACTAACTCAGCTTAGAGGGAACACTCGGCTGGCAGTCCAATGAGCTCATTCTGCCAGCAGAGATGATAGCCAAATTGCCTTATTTATTAATAAGTGAAGGAGAATGATAGATATTAAACGGCAATAGGCTTAAAATACAGGATCATTCATAACCTATGTATACGGGAGTCAGAATTCCCAGAGCCCGTGAATAGACACCGAGGCTATGTTGCTAAAGCAATGTTTTCTTTACTGAGGGTTTTTCAAGCATACAAGTAGAAAATCAAGCATTCTGTCACGGCCTGGCCTGGGCTGGGCTGGGCTGAGAGGCAGGAGTCAGGTCCGGTCCGGGGGTCGTAGCCAGGACAGACAGAACAGGGGCCGAGTAGCGCGTCTGAGAGAGTGGTCGTCCGAAGCAGGAGGTCAGGAAGCCAGGAATCCAAACAGGAGCCAGGTCCGAGAGCAGGAGCTGGGGGTGGGTGCGAGGTCAGCACGGATGCGACTTGTTGCTGCCACAGAGAGCCCACTCCCAAGCGGGAGCTTCCCTGAGCGGTGGCACTGCTCCTGTTAGTGCTCAGGGCTCGGTGCTTCCCTGCCAGCATGCGTCTCAGTGGCGGGTGGCTACGTCCTTGCGGAGCCACTTCCTCAGCTGAGCCACCCGCAGAGGTGAATCCAGCGGGCTTTCTGTTTGCATCTGCACCTCATTGGCTGCTGCAGGACTGACTCGGGCACTGGCAGAGGCAAGCTGCCAACTCCCGAGGAGTCAGAGGGGCCAGCTTCCAGCTCTGGTGATGTTGGCGACGCCACCTGCACTACCAACTCGGACAAGGGCCCAGCGCCATCGTCGTCGCCCACAACACATTCACACACACAATAGGTAAAGGTCTCCCTTGCTCGAAAGCCAGTCGAGTCCGACTCTAGGGTTGCGGTGCTCATCTCCGTTTCAAAGCCGAAGCGCCAGCGCTGTCCGAAGACGTTTCCGTGGTCATGTGGCCGGCATGACTAAACACCAAGGCGCACGGAACGCTGTTACCTTCCCACCAAAGTGGCACCTATTTATCTACTTACAATTTCTTGCTTTCGAACTGCTAGGTAGGCAGGAGCTGGAACTAGAGACGGGAGCTCACTCCGTCTTGCGGCACCCGGTTCTTGAACTGCTGAACTGCGGACCTTCCACAACCTGCAGTTCAGTGTCTTAACCACTTGAGCCACCGCAGCTCCCCTCACACACACAATACAGGGCTAAGAATACAGATTAGAAAATATAGAGACGTTCGCATGAGCAGGGAGTATCGTTGGTTGGGGAATACTTTGCCTGTCCGATGAGACGAGTTGATGCTGCAACGAGAAATGGGATAGAATAAGGGAGGGGACGTGAGTTGACCAGCGACGCTCGTGGAATGGCCCCAAGCTGTTCAGGAGTGGAACCATCGAGGTAAAAGTGAGAGACGAGGGGAAGAAGCAAAGAAGCGGGTAGGTGTAAAGGAGGTAAGGGAGCGAACTCAGGGAGGGCTCTCCTGAAACACCTGAAATGTGACCTGAGGCTAGGGCTCATGATCTCCAGGAGATATTTAAAAAACTTAAACTCCGAATGGGCCAAAAAGGGATTCATGGTTGGGCAACCGTAACATTAATGGTATAGTGGTTAAGTGTGCGGACTATAATCTGGGAGAACCAGGTTTGATTCCCCACTCCTCCACATGCAGCTGCTGGGTGACCTTGGGCAAGTCACAAGCTCTTTCAGAGGTGTTCTCTCAAGAGCTCTCTCAGCCCCGCCTACCTCACAGGGTGCCTGTTGTGGGGAGGGGGAGGGAAGGGGATTGTCAGCCGCTCTGAGACTCCTCCTCCTCCTAATGGTAGGCAGGGAGGGACACCTCTGGGGGAAGGGGGGGTGGGACAAAGGAGAGACGGAAGAGCACCATTCACGTTGCAGGGCTGGTACTTTGGATTAACGACATAAGCACATAAGAGAAGCCAGTGTTGGATCAGGCCATCAGCTCATCCAGTCCAACACTCTGGGTCACACAGTGGCCAAAAATACCAGGTGCCATCAGGAGGTCCAGCAGTGGGGCCGGGACATTAGAAGCCCTCCCACTGTTGACCCCCCCCAAGCACCAAGAAGACAGAGCATCACTTGCCCTGGAGTCCCTATCTATACCTTGTGGCTCATAGCCACGGATGGACCTCTGCTCCATATGCTTATCTAATTCCCTTTTGAAGCCGTCCATGCTTGTAGCCGCCACCACCTCCTGTGGCCGTGAATTCCAAGTGTTAATCACTCTTTGGGTGAAGAAGTACCTCTTTTTTTCTGCTCTAACCCGACTGCTCAGCAATTTCATGGAGTGCCCACAAGGAGTTCTTGTCTTGTGAGAAAGGGAGAAAAGTCCTTCTTTCTCTACCTGCTCTATCCCATGCATCATCTTATAAACCTCGATCATGTCAGCCTTCGTTTCTCCAAGCGAAAGAGCCCCAAGCGCCATAGGCGTAATCTTCGTGGGGGCGGCGGGGCTTCAGCCCCCGCCGAAATTTTCAGGAAGGTGTTCAGCCTCCCCCGGGAGCCACCCTTGCTCCTAGCAAAGCAATGCCTCTGGCCCAGCCCCAGCCCCCCCCCGGGAAATTGGAAAGTCTACACCGATGCCAAGCGCTTTAACCTTTCTTCATAGGGACCAGATGTTTGATAGCGGCGTGATCTTGATGGGTGACAGGAAGGCTGGATCGCTATTGGCTGTCGCTGGGCACACCCCTTTGTCTTAGGCCGGCTCAGGAGGGAGAGGACTGTGTGCTTTTCCGGGTGAAGTTAGCACACGTGGGGGAATGCTTGCAGTGGCTTCCGTTCAGGAACACCTGTCCTTTGTCAGGGCATGGCGTCCTCTCTGAGCGGCTGTCCTCTGCGTGCACGGAGGTCAGGGCTGCTGGTCTGCATCCTGGTGCTTGTATGGGTGCAGAGGTGCAGGGGCAGAAGGCTTTTGGAGTCCTGGGTCCACGTCTGGCTTGGCCTGCTTCTCAGGCACAAGGCTCCCCTTGGCCACAGTGTACGTTCCGTAGTCCAGCGCCGGCCACTTCTCTTGGGAACACAGCCCTGTGTCCGTTGCCCCGAGACACACTCTCCGCAGTCCAGCAAGGCAGGCATATTTCAGAGTCTGTAATAACACCCTCTGAAGTGGCTGCATGGCAACGGGGGAAAGGAAGGGGGAAGGATCCGTGTGCGTTGACTCGGGATGCTGTTTGGACTTGGAAGTGTTTGGGAGCGCCGAGCAGCTGAGGCCCCGGGCCGGTTGTGTTGCCGAACAGCCGTCAGACCTTGACTCTGCTCTTTTGCCCTGAAGTCCTTCCAGGAAATCGACTCTTGACTGCACTGGGGATCAGCGGCTGAAGGCCTCTGTTTGAAAACACGCAGGCTGGTTTAAAGCGTTGACTTCTCAAGGTTACTGTCTTGACCGACCGTGGAAACTGGGCAGACTGTTGAATATAAGATCTCAGTTCCCTGGGGAAGATTCCCGCTCCAGAGCCAAGACTCCCAAAGCAGGCGATAAGGCAAAATATGTTAATTAACATTCTCTGGCCTTTCCCCCCTCCCCTCAGAGTTCGGTGGGGGAGTGCAGATTTTTCTGCTTTTTCAACACATGGCGGTCAGAGGGATGGGGATGTACGGAAGGACTAACAGTGACCGTCTAATTAATAGGAAATAAGAGTGTTTTCCCCTACTGAGGCTCTCTGAAGCCCACATGTACCCATCCCCGGCTTCCATTTTTGTTTAAAAGACAGAAACATTCCTGCCGGCCAGTTGCTCCAAGGGCCAGGCAAACGGGGTCTGACTCCCCAGAGCCCTGTGGGTTCTTTGGATGCCAAAGTGTGGACAAGCAGGAGTCCAGCACTTTGAAGGGAGACATTTCTGCGAGACTTCATGGAGCCCCGAGAGAGAGCGACCCGTCTGAACGGCTCCTTCCTACTAGATCTTAATGCCCCCGTTCTGCTGGCAGGTCTTTCTCAGGGAAGCTCCTTCCCCCCTCCACACGGTCTGTGAGCAGCTGTATTTTTATGCGTGCAGATGTTTTTCTAGCTTCACTTAGCCCGGAAACCTGAGCCACAGAGGCAGCAGAGTGGGATTCATTCCGAGGGAGCTGCCGCTTTGCCCGAGATGTGGAAGCTCTCCTTTTGATTCCCAAACCCTTGGCCGGGCATCTGTGTGCTTTCCCCTCTTTGGGACGGATGCTTTGCCAGCGCTTGGTGGTTTCTACCACTCCTCCGTATTTCCACCCCTCTGAAGTGGAGTTTCTTCTGCTGATTTGTGGTGGGGCGTTTCCCACTTCCTCTGAAACCACAGTTGGCTCAATTAGACAGATAGTGAGGTTTGAAAACCAGAGATGAGATTTCCCCTTGATCCTGCTTGGCTGATAATCCAGAGGAGACGGGGAGGAGGCATCGTCCCCTGAAGCATACGGCTTGGCTCACTTACGGGACTCCTCTGATTTGTCCTCTCAGCAAGTCTCACTGGGCAAAGCCCATAAGAAGAAGAAGAGGAGGAGGAGGAGATTGGATTTATACCCCATGGCCCTTCACTACCCAAAGGAGTCTCAGAGTGGTTTACAAACTCCTTTTGGTGTAGTGATTAAGTGCACGGACTCTAATCTGGGAGAACCGGGTTCGATTCCCCACTCCTCCACTTGCACCTGACTGGATGACCTTGGGCAAGCCCTAGTTCTGATAAGAGCTGTGCTTGAAAAAGAGCAGTTTCTGTCAGAGCTCTCTCAGCCCCGCCTACCTCACAGGGTGTCTGTT